CTAGAGTTTCACGGGCTATTTTGACGTATCCACATAAGCACTACCAAAATCATCCGAGGCGAGTATGAGTCTTAGAGTTGAATATTGTAATCAGGCATAATTAGATGGACACGTTCATCAAACATATGCTAGCAATACCTCTGCCTATACTAATCGGTCTCGATTTATCGTCACAATCTGCCATGATCTGAATGTCAGTTTCGTGATTTATTAAGGTGTTGTTTAGAGTATCATATTGTAAATTGGTTTACTCCTAGGTTGAGTAACCGTTCAGCAGCTAAGCGAAATGCGACGCAATCGTTGGTTGAGCAGTTGCTGGCTCTTTACGAATGACTAACAACCGTTCCGCGTGGGCGGTTAGATAAACACACAACCAGCTAATTAATAAGTGATATGCTTCTACTAAGACCAGAGCACATCTTTATTGACATATCTGAACACGAATGCGAGACTTCCTCTCTATAGTCTCATGTCCTTTCTTTCATTGATTGCAAATATAAGATTCTGATGTCTTTTCCTAAATCCGTTCCAGCCACATACATCGCCAGACCATAATGAAAGTGGAACGAGTACAGAGTACTGACTCCGATGCGATTATTCTAGGGTTGTATGGGGTGTTTGCCATATATCATGGGCTTAACCGAGGAAGAATATATCGACCTCGCCATGAAGGTTACCATATGAACTTGAAGTTGTGATACAACCAGGCTAACCCTGACTTAGGATTAATCTGGCATGTGTTATCAGGTGTGCTTGAAGTTATCTTGTATTATGGAAATTTCCAGTGCTCCATAGTCGCAGTGGTATCCTGCTGGATACACTCCTATACTTCCCTTGTTTTGGTAAGGGACCTTCCAAATGGTTATCCCCCTCACACTAGTAAGTACTCAATTAGAATAACCACGAAAGCATATAAGTTATGGTGTCTAATTGGTGAAAATAGGACCGGCGTATCAGGCAGGATCCATCATGCGAAGTGTCCTGGTGGTGCGCGCCTACTTCAGCCAGAATCCTGTTCACTACCATGATAGCATGATGCCACTGCATGGATTTGTGTATACACGTGCATTAATCTTTCTTCTCGGGACCATGGGACCAACCCGGTCATTTACTACGAACGTGAACTCCCGATTTGTATATGCGGAGTCGGTCTTTGGTGCCGCCCTCATTTCCATAGGTCATTGTCATGGGTCCTGGCCGGTGCCAGTATATTTACTTTTGATTCATTTCCTGGGGAAAATAA